TGAAGTAAAATATTCATTAAGGACCTCCCCTACCTCCTCTGACTCCACGCAAAAGTTCCCTCCACTATCCCTGATTGGCCCTACCCTCACTCTGGCCATCCTCTTGTTCCTCACCTAAGTGTAGAATGCCTTGGGGTTTTCCTTAATCCTACCCACCAAGGCTTTTTCATACTCCCTTCTAGCTGTCTTAAGTCCATTCTTCAGTTCTTTCCTGGCTACCTTGTAGCCCTCTAGAGCCCTGTCCAATCCTTGCTTCCTCAATCTTATTTAAGTTTCTTTCACCCTCTTGACTTGATGTTCCACATGTCTTGTCACCTTACCATCCCTTCCTTGCCTCAGAGGGACAAACCTATCCAGTACTTGTAGCAAGTGCTCCCTAAACAACCTCCACATTTCTGTCGTGCATTTCCCCGAGAACACCTGATCCCAATTTATGCTCCGCAGTTCTTGCCTAATAGCATTGTAATTCCCCCTCCCCCAATTAAATAGCTTCCCATACCGTCTGATCCTATCCCTCTCCATGATGATCATAAAGGTCAGGGAGTTGTGATCATTATCACCGAAATGCTCTCCCACTGAGAGAGCTGACACGTGGCCCGGTTCGTTGCCAAGCACTAAATCCAATATGGCCTCCCCTCTAGTCAGCCTGTCTACATATTGAGTCAGAAATCCTTCCTGGACACACTTGACAAAATCTGCTCCATCCAAACTATTTGCACTTAGGAGGTTCCAGTCGATATTAGGGAAGTTGAAGTCACCCATCACAACAACCCTATTACTTCTACACCTTTCCAAAATCTGTCTCCCAATCTGTTCCTCAGTGTCTCTGTTGCTACTGGGGGGGATCTATAGAAAACTCCCAATAAAGTGACTGCTCCTTTCCGGTTTCTGACTTCCACCCATACTGACTCAGTAGACAAATTCTCCTCGACGACCTCCCTTTCTGCAACTGTGATACCATCCCTGATTAGCAATGCCACTCCCCCACCTCTTTTACCTCCCTCACTATTTCTTTCAATACATCTAAACCCTGCAACATCCAACAACCATTCCTGTCCCTGTGTCATCCGAGTCTCCATAATGGCCACAACATCGTAGCCCAAGTACTGATCCATGCTCTAAGTTTGTCACCCTTATTCCAGACACTTCTTGCATTAAAATAGACACACTTCAACCCGTCGCAATGACTGCAACTTTGCCCTATCAACTGTCTGTCCTTCCTCACAGACTCTCTGCAGTTCGCAGACGTTTCATTACCCTGCTGGGTAACATCATTGGTGCAGCCTCTAACTGAGGAACTGGCCTCACTATCAATAATGCCAATGCTTATGAAAATGTTCATCAGTTTTTACAATTTCAGAGGAAATGTTAAGCAGAGAAAATCATCCTGTGTATGCACACGGAACTACTTGTCGATACTCCTTCTACCCAGTTTGCAAACATCAAACGAACACAAAAGAAAAACATTTTGGAGAGCAATGTTTTTGCAATATGCAGACATTGCACTTACGAAAGTCTAAAATACTACGTAAAGCCATTTTTCATTCGTCCAGAGCATAACCTAAAACAGACATTTCTGTACATGGGTCTGAAAGGGTTAATACTTGACTGAAGGCAGTAAACACTGCCCACTGTGATGATGCCATGGAAAGGTTGTCTGATTAAGTAGCAGCTTTGTAGAGGACAGATCTGGGGCGAGTATGCTCCAAATAATCTCAGGAGTAATGTAGGTCATATCCATGTAATCTGTAAATAGTTGCAGTTGTATGTTGTTTAGTCGTCAAGACTCTCCTAGTTACACCAGAAAGGTGGATCTCCTGGTCGAAACTAGATCACTTCAGGTTTGAAGGAACTCAGACAGCAGATATTAGGGCCCGAATTTTCACATAGATGGAGAACCTCTCGATATTTCCAAAATTGAGCATCTGCCTGCTATTTTTGAAACCCCATCCCCTAACATGACAGCTGCCATTTCCTTGAGTGTGGGGGCAGGAGCTGGTTCTAATTTGCACATCAATAGTTCCCAATGCATTGCCCATGTTAAAGTGCAGCTGCATCAGGCTAATCTGATTTTCTCCACTGGGACATGCAAAACACAACTTGCATAATTTAGTTCAAGATTGCAGGAATTTTCTGACAGAGGTAGGGCACTCTTATGGAGAGGCAGGCTAGACTTTTGGCTATGGTCCCAAGTTACCTTTGTGGGACAAAGGCAAGGTGTTCTTTGATGTTGTTAGAAGCAGATGTGCAAAAGTGCATAAATTCATTGGAAATGGCAAGTTCATTTGAGCTGTCAAGGGAACTGTCACGAAAGCTGTCAAAAGGCAGTAATCAAGCTGTCAAGCATTTAAAATTCCTGCTCTTTAAATTTTGAAAATAAAACTGACTGTATATTTAAAGAATCATCAGTGTCTTCTACTTCACTGTATCTGCCGGCATTACCCTGTGGGGCATTTTTATAGGATTAACACTGCATGACAGATTTCATAATGGTCCATTATCACAATATGGGGTGTGTCCCTTCATAGTTTGATTTTATGACCACTAGACATTGCAACTCTTTGAAGTGGGACTATAAATTCCAATGCTCATTTTGAAAGGAATTAAAAGGAGATAAATATAGAGGATGGATATTTTGTCAATGAGAATTTTTTTCCTTAAATATTGAATTCATCAATTGGATCCTGAGGTCTGCCCAATGGTGGATACTGCTAGAGTTGCCATGGTAGCTGTGAGGGAAAAGAGTGGGAGACAAAGTTTGGCTGTAAGTTGAGGCAGGAGTTATAAAAATCCATTGGGAGTCAGCAGATTCTACCTACTGTTTGCACACCAATATACTTTGGTTAGAATAAGTAAGTTATAAAGTTCATAAAATGAAAGCCAAACCCAAATTTAATTTTTCTGATTCTCACAACAGTTAAGCCTAGCTTAAAGGAAGTGAGATTCAGAGCTACAGACACCTGACTCCCATAATTAGATACATTATACAACAGCTCACCTTTTCATTGGCTCTTGAGAGTATTGGGATATTCAAAACAACTTGTGTAACTTATTGTGTAACAATTCTCTGGGAGAGGTAGGGTCCTGAAATCTGAGGCCAGGTTGATTGTAACAAAGGCAGTTCATTTAAAACAAGCTAGACAGCTTCCTTTGATGGCACCATTGCTACAGGAAAGCTGTAGGAGCTAAATGTGGCACTTCAGGCCAATCAGCATCTATTGTCAAATAATTAGGGTACATTTGACATTAGGATAACCCTCGATGTCCGAATTGTCTTAAAAAAAAATCACTTCAATGATGCTTTAGGTCATCATTAGTCTGTTGTGGGAGCCTTGGCCATCTTCAGGTTGCTCAGATAAGGTGTGTACATGTCCAGCCTGGCAACTATCAGGTCATCACGCGATCTCAACTCCAACTTAATCCTCTCCCATGCACCAACTGCTTGGGGCAAAGAGATTTAAAATCAAGGTTCCTTGTAGACAGAAAATGTGCTTATTGTTGTGCAATATTGCAGGATTCATGTGTCAGTATACTTTTAAGAGTATACTCATGCTATCATCACTATTATAGCATGGGATATGAAGGAATAAAGTTATTATATTCCTTCTTAATGAGATCATTCTATACATGCTGCTCAATGCAACTCCTTGTCATCTAATAGTTTAGTGTTCACCCAGACACATACACGCCTGTGAGCACAATGTCAATACATAATTGCTGGCTGTAATAAATGTCACAATATCCACACCCGATTTCTTATGTTGTAAGGGATAACTTATTCTTTGACACATTGAGTATAATACCAGGCTGGAGGCAAAACCACATCAATTATGACCTGCAGGTACACAATTAATTTGTCCAGATTAGACCCAGGCACATTACATCAAAAGATTAAGGCATTTAGACTGAGGCAGATTAATGACAGCACACCTAACCACATTAGGTGAAATAGAAAATCTCTGTACATTCTGCTTCATAGGCCCCCTCAGGCAAGAATTAAAGAAATACGTCTTTCTATTTCTCCCATGAATAAAATTAAAACTAGCAAAAATTGACCTTCATAGAAGTAGCCTGGCGTTTCACTATTATCAATGTGTCAGATTTCAAAATTAGACTCGCAAGGCATAATCAAATATTAACTAAGGACAGTGGAAATATGATCACTGCACACTGGATCATATTGACATTGTTTTTTAACTCAATCTTACTGGGCACTAAGTCCCAATGAGCAGCAATGCAATAACTTGCAAGCATGCATTCAGTCCAGGTTCTGCACAGGCTCGGTCACTAACAGAGTGAATGGGAAGCATTTCATACATTGTAGCATTATTTCCCAATTGCAATATGCGATATCACCTTGAAATAAATCAATCATAGCTGGCGTCCTTGACTGCTGCACACCATGACGGTGAGATCAAATGGATGAAAGGACCAGGGAGACAGAGGGCTACGATCTGGACTACAACATTCTATCTGAAGAGCAGTGGCAGCAAATTCAATCCTAACTTTTGAAAAGGAACCGGATAAAAACTCAATTTAGAGTTTCAAAAAAACTGCAGGTAGACAAAAACTAAGGTAGACAAACAGAAGGCTGGAAAAACAGCAAGCCAGGCAGCATCTGGAGGAGGAGAAGTCAACGTTGTGGGTATTACCCTTCTTCAGGACTGGATACTCAAAGTGGCAAGTGGACAGAGGACAGGGATAGTAAGAACTGCCGATGCTGGAGTCAGAGGTAACACAGTGTGGAGCTGGAGGGACACGGCAGCATCAGAGGAACAGGAAAGCTGATGTTTCGGGTCAGGACCGTTCTTCAGAAATGGGGGAGGGGGAAGGGAGCTCTGAAATAACTACAGAGAGGGGGGGTGGGGCTGTGACAAAAGACAGAAGTGTGTGACCAACTGGCTGGATCTTTCAAAGTGCTCAGAGTCACAACGGACTGAATAACCTCTTTCTTTGCTGTATAATTCAACAATTCCACATAACAAAGAGCCTTGACTCACCTGCACAGCTACCACAGACAGCACCTCAACGCAGATCCTGTTGAACTCATCAAAGCAGCCCCAGGCACCAGTCTGCGCCAGGCCTTTGTAAATATTACCGCAGGACTGTAGGGGAAAAAAAAAGCAAGAGGTAATATTGCAAAGGGATACATTTTGCTCTTAGTAACAAGGGGAGGCAAAATAAACTTAACTGAACAGTTTTAAACAGGGTGCAGAGCAGAAGATTTAGTGTATATCAACAAATCTTCGACTGTGGCAAGATGAATTGAGGATGCTTAGAAGTTTGAGATAACAAGCTGAAATAACTACAGAGAGGGGGGGTGGGGCTGTGACAAAAGA